ATCAGTACGAGCTCCTGAAACATGCAGAAGCCACGCTGGGGAGTGGTAACCTCAGACAAGCAGTTATGCTGCCAGAGGGCGAGGACCTTAATGAGTGGATTGCTGTTAATAGTAAGTGCTACAAAACAGGGATGCACCCGCACGTGGAGGTGGATGGGAAACACAAAAATCTCTGGGGTTTAGCCTCAGAAGCAGCTTGAAATTCCCTGAATGATGTTCTTCCCCCAGGCATGCTCTGTTTAGGTGACTGAGTTAAGAGAAAAGGAAAGGTGAAAAAGTGAGGTGCAAACCTGCCCCATTGTGGGTTTGGGTTGGGGTTTTTCTGAGTTCAGACTTGTCAAGGGGATGAGGTGTGTGAATGGTTACTTTTATACTGGGCAGAAACCCTCCAGTGTCACTCTTTGGAATTAGGAATTGCTGTTGTCATCTGTGAAAGCAGTGGCAGCAGATAATCCAGAGGAAAAATGGAATCATGTTCTCCACTGAACTCTGGGTTTGTGGAGTTTCTTCTTTGTTTTCTAACTAAGAACACTGGGGCTGTTCAGCCTGGAGAAGAGAAGCTGCGTGGAGACCTCAGAGCAGCTTCCAGTGTCTGAAGGGGCTACAAGGATGCTGGGGAGGGACTGTTGATCAGGGACTATAGGGATAGGACAAGGGGTGATGGGTTCAAACTAGAACAGGGGACATTTGGGTTGGATATAAGGAAGAAATTCTTCCCTGTGAGGGTGCTGAGGCGCTGGCACAGGGTGCCCAGAGAAGCTGTGGCTGCCCCATCCCTGGCAGTGTTCAAGGCCAGGTTGGACACAGGGGCTTGGAGCAACCTGCTCTAGTGGAAGGTGTCCCTGCCTGTGGCAGGGGGTTGGAAATAGATGAGTTTAAGGTCCCTTCCAACCCAAACCATCCTGTGATTCTATGATTCTAGTTTCCTTTTAGTTTTGCTGCGTGCATAGTGTAAAAAGCCAGATACTACACATTTATTTTGCTTTTAGCAGCTGCTGTCTCTGGCCTTGAACATTGTTTCTTTGGAGGTTAGAGGAGGAAAAAGTAGTTTTTGAAATGGAAGACAGTAAGTCAGACCACAAGTATTCAGCCTAAGGAAGATCTCTCCCATATTCTCAAAATCAGTCAGGTTTTTGAGGTACTGTAAAGGTGTCTGGAACCTAAAGCAGTTCAAGGTATGTCAGGCTCAGCGGAGTTTTGTGCCACACAAATCAGTTAGTGATGGCAGCCAGACGGTGAATAAGTGACAGAGCAATTCCAAATCCTAGATGGTCCAAATGTCTTGGAAGTCATCAGTGATGTGACATCGTACAGAAGGAGGGTGTTTTCTTTTGCTGAGAGTTCTCTGGGCCCGTGACAGTGATCCTCAGAGGCTGTGCTGGCTGCAGGAGGGTGATCCAGCACTGCGTCCACTTTGTGTCACACCCGGAGTAAACTTGATGCGTTTCCTTTCCAGCGGTGGATTTCTTCAACCAAATCAACATGCTGTATGGGACCATCACAGAGTTCTGCACGGAGGCAAGCTGCCCAGTCATGTCTGCAGGACCAAGGTGAGGTGCTTCCTGTGCTCTGTGGCTGCAGGTTCTATGCAGGGAAGTGGGTGGGTGCATGGGTCACTTGAGCATGTGCAGAAAGAAGCTAAAAAGAGGATGGGACATGTCCAGATCAGGTCAAGGTGCAGCACTGTGCTTTCCTGGAGTCATTTACCCATACATGAAGCCATGCTGTCTGTTGGGGAGGCTGTGTGTAGCCATCAGTCAGTATCTGTCCAGGGGAACCATGCATGAGGATCTTTTTAATCCCTTGTTGATCGGGTTCCTGCATTTAGAAGCTGAAAAGGTTGGTTTTTGAAACGGCTTTTCTTAAAGAAAACGTGAGATCTGACTTGACTGGAAGAGTCTGGTCTCACTGTCAAAGACTCAAGTAACCTGCCAGAGTCTCTCACAGATGTGCTCTAAGAGAGACATCTGTGTGCTCACAGAGTGCTGGTGCTCTGAGAGGCCATAATGTGGTTTTTCTAAGCACAAGTGATTCTAAAACCAGGAAGGGCTTATAGAGACAGGTACGTGTGGTAGGGACGAGCCAGGTGTCTTTTGGGTCTTCCCTATGCTGCAGCAAGGCTGGTATCATTTGCCTTGTTGTGTCAGCCTGTCACATCCTGCCCTGCTTTTCTACCCACAAGTATCTAGATTGCAAGTTCCTGTTTCTATACTGGGGGACGTTTCCTGTAATAGTTTCCTGTTTAAATGGCTCTGTCTGTTTTTACTTGTTGCTGGTCAAAAGGCAACAGACAAAGCATGGAGAGGGGGGTGGAGGTTCCCTGCTTTGGAGGGATTTTGCAGAAGATCTCGGAGAAAGTGGGTTGTGCCATAGTCAACATCAGGCCTTGTTTGGAGGAGCCGTAGGATTGATAACCACGTATGCTGATTTGAACTGGTGGCTTCCAAAGGCCTTTGGCTTTTGGGGAGGGTCTCTTGGAGATCTCATCCACCTCATGTGAAGGGAGAAGGAGCAGCAAATTCCTGGAGGCTGTCTGAAAGCCATCAGTGAATTAATTCAAATGGTGGGCAACAGCCCCGATGCTTCCTCTTTGGCCAGTTTTTGTCTTGTTTTAAGGAAATGTTGATGGAGAAGGTTGCCACAAAGTAGACATTCACTTTTGAGGGTTAAACCCCCAAGGGTGGCCACAATAGGGGTGTTAACTGGTGCTGTGCTTGAGAAACTCAAAGTGCTACTCTTGTTGCTTCTGAGGAGTACGAGTATTGTTATGTTGCTCCTTACTGGGATAAGGAGGAAGCTGCAGGGCCTAAAAACGCAGCTGTATTTCTCCTTGAGCAGAGAATTGATTTTCCTTCCCTCTCCCCACAGGTATGAGTACCACTGGGCAGATGGCACCAACATCAAGAAGCCCATCAAGTGCTCGGCCCCGAAGTACATCGATTACTTGATGACGTGGGTGCAGGACCAGCTGGATGATGAAACCCTCTTCCCCTCCAAGATAGGTAAGTGTGGCCTCACTGCTGCAATGTTTGGCTTTGGTTTTCCTGACCCAACTGAGGGACTTAGCTGTGCTTGTTGAGGTGCTGGAGCAAGTCCAGAGAAAGGCAATGGAGCTGGTGCAGGGCCTGGAGCACAAGTGTGATGGGGAAGGGCTGAGGGACCTGGGGGTTTAGTGTGGAGAAGAGAAGGCTCAGGGGGGACCTTACTGCTCTTTCCAACTGCTTGACAGGAGGATGGAGCCAGGAGGGGGCTGGTCTCTTCTCCCAAGGAGCAAGGGATGGGACAAGAGGAAATGGCCTCAAGCTCCCCCAGCTTAGATGGAGCTGAGGAACAATTCCTTGCCCAGAGGGTGCTCAGGCATTGGAACAGGCTGCCCAGGGCAGGGCTGGAGTCACCGTCCCTGCAAGTGTTCACAGCCTGTGTAGCCGAGGCCTCAGTTGGCCTTGGCAGTGCTGGGGAACGGTTGGACTTGATCTTAAAGCTCTTTTCCAACCTGGCTGATTCCATGATTCAGGGGTCCCTTTTCCCAAGAACTTCATGTCAGTGGCCAAGACGATCCTGAAGCGGCTGTTCCGCGTGTATGCCCACATCTACCACCAGCACTTCGACTCCGTCATGCGGCTGCAGGAGGAGGCCCACCTCAACACCTCCTTCAAGCACTTTATCTTCTTTGTGCAGGTGAGTTGTGAAACAGTGAAACCTTTGGGGTCTGTCATTCCCCATCTGCTTTTAAGGGGAGTTGGATTTCAACACCTCTTCGCTCTTCAAAGATCTGTGGTGTACACTGGATGAGCCACTCAGCTCCCACCCTCTGTGCCATTGGAACCATGCAGCTGCAGCAACATAGGTCTGTGGGTTTTATTTTTAGGGTATTTCTGCAGGAAGTGTGGTCAGGGTGGCTGTTAATGCTTGAGTTTCCCTCTCAGGTTTTAGTTGTCAGCCTGCAGCAAAAGCAGCCAGGCTCAGAGGAGAACTTGGTGGATTTTTAGCTCCAAGAATCAACTGAGAAATGGTGGGGACACCTTTTTTTCCTTGCCAGTATTTCAACAACCTGTTCCATGAGACTGCACGTGTGACTTGGGCTGAGCAGCTTGGAGACAGATGTTCTGTTGCCCTGAAATGCCTGGATTTCTCTGCAGAGAAACGAGAGGCTGGTTTGATGGTTCTTCTGGGCACTGGCACACACTGACACAGCAGCTTCCCACCACACAGACTGGGATGTGTTTTCCAGCAGCGCTTTGAGCGATGCCTTTAACTTTTGTGTTGCTTTTCCCCTGCCAGGAATTCAACTTGATTGACAGGCGGGAGCTGGCTCCTCTGCAGGAACTGATTGAGAAGCTGGGCTCCAAGGACAGATAGACTTTCCCAGAGAGGACTCTTTTTGGCTGCTCCTTTCTGCTTTATACTCCAGTCACTTCCACGCTTCTGCTGTGCAGCCCCAGCCTCTGCAGCCCACTTGGTTCTCCAGGCTGTGTGTGCTCAAGCCCAGCAAGGACTGTGCTCTGGTTGAAGATGGGACCTGGACTCTGAGCAGATTTGGCTCCCCACAGGCGTGGGGTGAAGCTCCAAGTGCTGCTCAACTGCTTTCTCCTCCCAGAGGTAAAGTCTTCCTCTGTGCCTAAGCCCGGAGTGGCTCAGCTTATTTTTGGAAGTGCTTATTTTTGCAGAAGAGGTGCACTTTGGCCCAGAGCCTTCACCTCCCCTTTGGCAGCAGCGTTGGGGAGAAGGAAGAGAAGTGCCTGGCCCTGGGCTGAAGGTGTTCACACAGTGGGGGGCTGAGGGAGGGACCCCACAGTGTGGCAAGGCAATAATAAAGTTTCTCCTTCCTGCTCTTCTTTCAGAGGAAGAGGGGGTGCCTCCTCCTCTTCCTTCTTGCTCTTGAACCCCCCAGCCCCCATGCACAGGTGCCTTGACTGAAAACACGGCCCATGGGGATGTTTGGAAGGAGGCAGCACAAAACAGCACAGAGAATGTCTGGAAGGAGGCAGCACCTTTATTGCTCAAGGTTTGGGGGTGGAAGTGAAGATGCGCAGTCCATGCATGCTCTTGATCTCCTCACTTAGTGCCTGCAATGACACAAGCACCACGCTGAGGGGGAGCAGCAGCTCTGAGTGTCTAGTGCTTGTGCACAGTGCAAGGGGAGAGTATTACACTACTATTAGAATGCTCTGTGTGCACACACTGCCCAAGTGCTCTCTGGTGTATGTGAGTACAAGCACTGCACACCAGGTACACCACTGCTGCTCTTACTACTCTAAACAGCAACCAAGCGCTCCACAGCCTGTTACAGGCACTGTGCACAGCCCTTTACTTAACACCAACACTTGTGTACACACACTTCAGAGCACCACAACATGCTGTGAGCAGCAGGCCCAGGTGTAAGGGTTACACACAGTGTAGCACCCTTACTTAAGGGGGTTACACACAGTGCAGCACTATTATTTAAGGATTGTGGTGGTTATTGATGTCTAAAGAAAGGAAGAGCTGCAAAGTCCTACACACAGTATGTGTTACGTGCTGTGCACTCACAATGAGTAGTAACCTCACACCACAACACTAACAAGGACGTGCTTTGCACACGAGTGCCCCACCACCTATCTGTGAGGGGAGAAAAGGAAGGACTCCTATTTGTGTCACTGTTTGTGACTCTCAGCACTTGTGCACATACGTGTGCCCAGCTGTATGCACACACGCTGGTGTAGCTGTGAGGGAATGGCTACGTTGGGTGTTACTGGGGGAGGTAAATAAAGGGGCTCAGCTCTGGACAATCAGTGCCTGCAGGCACAGCCCTGCAGCCTCAGACTACCTGTGACACTTGGAGTTGTACACTTAAGTGTGCTCCAGTGCACAGCCACACTGTTTTTACTGGGAGGGAAGGGGAAAAAGGGCTACTTACTGGGAGTGGAAAAGGAAGGGTGATGCTGTAAGCCACCATCAGGCACAGCATGTCACAGGTAGCACTGTGCGTGCGTGTACACAGTGCTTTAGTGCAGCACTGACTGTGCACACACATGCAGAGTGTCCTGCTTCAAATGCTGCATACACTGGTTTTACTGGGAGGGCAGAGCCAGGCTGCTCTTTCTTGCTGGGAGGGCAGAGCCAGGCTGCTCTTTCTTACTGGGAGGGCAGAGCCAGGCTGCTCTTTCTTACTGGGAGGGCAGAGCCAGGCTGCTCTTTCTTACTGGGAAGGCAGGGCCAGGCTGCTCTTTCTTACTGGGAAGGCAGAGCCAGGCTGCTCTTTCTTACTGGGAGGGCAGAGCCAGGCTGCTCTTTCTTACCGGGAGGGCAGAGCCAGGCTGCTCTTTCTTACTGGGAGGGCAGAGCCAGGCTGCTCTTTCTTACTGGGAGGGCAGAGCCAGGCTGCTCTTTCTTGCTGGGAGGGCAGAGCCAGGCTGCTCTTTCTTACTGGGAGGGCACACAGCAGTTGTGCTGTGCACATGTAATCAGTGGTGCTGAACCAAAGCACTGCGGTGCCTGCCTGCGGGCAGCACATCAGCAGTAAGTGCCCAAGCGCCCCCCCTCACCTCGTTCACCATCTGGTGCTGCTGCACCGTTCGCTTCTCCCTGAACTCCTCCGACTCGATGTGAATCTCATACATGGCACCGCAGCCTCCTGCAACCACAGAACAGCAGCAAATGAGGGTCCTTTGTGCCCCCCCCCCTCCATGTCCCTGCTCCTTTTGAGGTGTCCCCCCCACCCC